AAATGCTAGACTGAGCGGGCAACCATGAATCGCTTCATGTGGTGAATTTTAACATAGCCTCGTTTCAGTGGATGGAACCAGTGCGGCGGGTCGGGGTAGGTAAACGGGTATACTGCACCCACAAGCGTACAATGGGGGGTCAGTTGGACTGCGGGTGAGTGCCAGGCTCAGTGGTCCAAACACCTTTGCTGAATAATTATCGGAGACATTCGCCTCACAAATAATTTCACCGACACGAGTGGACCGAATGAGCTGAAAGAGCATAGGAATATCGCCAGAGGGCAACGGTCTCCATCTCCAATACACGCTTGGACCACCCAACCTTGCAATCCTAGCGCAGGTTTTGCTTGAGCTGAAGTTCATCGCAACTTGATTCAGTAGGAATATCTCTAATGGGATCGAAAAACCATAGGGAGTGGCGAGCGATCCAAACCTTGAAAAGGTGCCGCAGCTTGATAGTCCAAGAGTGATGTGTGCCTGCTGTATACAAGTCCAGTGTTGCTCAACGTACTGCAGTGAATTACAACTGTGTGTCTACCTGTTAATACTTATAGATCACCTGGACCGATGAATCAGTCTTGCAGCGGATTGTACTTTGAGAACCAATCAAAACATATGCATATGTTCGCACAGATCAGCGCATGATCTGAGCCAATGAAGGTGGTCCAAAATGATCTGCACTCCCGCACCCTGCCCCGCCATCTGAACCTGACTGCGATATGACCAATGCTTGCGTTGGCGAAAGGGGACGCTAGGTTGCGAAACGTTTCTTCGTTTACCTGAAGTTAGCGCCCTAAAGAAACAGATGATTGTCTTCTCAAAATGTGAGAAGTCTCTCTCCGCTATTTGAACGGTCGTCATCGAGTGCGTGCTGACCACTAAGGTGAAATTGGTGTGGTAACAGGCGACCGACGACTGCGGCGAAATTCCCAGCAATGACAATGACATCCGATATGTTTGTTAAAGAGCTGATGAAGTCCTAGATAAAAGCCGTCTTTGACCGAGCCACTAAGGAGGCTAATTGGAGTGCACGTGGAGCTCACAAACAAGCTGCGTCTCTCCTCGCGACGCCTGCTGACTCTACATTAACCCCGAAGACGAACTGCACACGATCGGTTGTTAATCGGGAACCAGTCCAGCAGTATGGTATCAGCCATGCCAATTAGTAGTTCACTAACACCAGATAAGCCTGTTGAAGCTGCTTCTGAGTCACTAGAAGGACGCTGATGATGGGTGGCTCCGTAGACAGTGGGGGATATCGCATAAGCACAGTAATTAGGTTCGTCAGCAGCAAACGTCAGTATCGAAGGACTACATCTGCCGATATAATAGGCTAGGTTTCACAATTGCACAGGAAGGTCGGACGTACGGCTGAATTGTACACTCTATCCTTCAGGGAGAGAGTGATGTCCCAACGGCGCCATCGGTGACGAAGGTTAGCAAAAGCGCCTCGAGCTTTTGCTATGCAGTTTGTCACCTCAAATACAATACCAACGGCGCTGATACGACTCCCCAGGTAGTTGAATTTCTGAACAACTTCTAGCTGATCCCCACCAAGGGTCAGCGCAGGAGGCGGTCTCTGCTAAACTTAGAGGAAAGCTTTGCACGTCGAGGGTGTAAAGCAAAGCCCAAAACGGCGGACAGTCAGTGCTAATATGTCCAGTGTTGCTTGACACACTTCAAGACTGTCACAGATGAAGTCAATGTCATCAGCATATTTCAAGTCAAGAAGTCGTTCGCCTGGGAGTAGCTCCACAGTTTCTACGCCGTCAATGGAAAGTCAAAGAGGAAAGGTGACAGCGGCCATCCCCTGTCTTAAATCGCAGGAGATACTGAAGCGCGGCGACAACTTGGCGTAAGCTCTCACTTTGCCTGAGATATGCAGGTAAAGCGCTCAGGTAGTATTTACATAGTTCTCGGACATAACCTCCGCAGACAGTCCAAAAGGGCATATCGATCAACCGAATCGAAGGCATCTTCGATGTCGAGGAACAAGATTACATTGGGTAGCCACTATATGTGACGGTGCTCCAACAATTGACGTATAGTGAAGGTGGGATCGATGCAGCCCCGAGCTAGATGAAACCCAGCTTTCTCCTCATGAGTCTGGATTTCAAGAGTGCCAGTCAATCTGTGAAGGATGACAGAGGCAAGCAATTTGGATGCGATGGATATCAGACTGATTCGTCTATGGTTACCGTATTCTGGACGTGGGCGACCCTTGAATCATCATCATCATTATACACAACAGCTAGAGGTGGGAAAACACCTCCGCTATTGTGCAGCAATACATAAAGCGGAGCGGCTTCAATCGGTTGTGACAGTTTCCTGCTCCTACAGTTTCACTAATTCCTCGTGTAAATCATCCACAAGAGCAGGTTCTCCGAATTTGAAGGTCGGAGGAAGCTTATCTGATCTAGCGGCGTTGTTCAACTTCAGCAGTTCAATCGCATATTCGAGTTATGAGTGAGAGGGTAGATCCAAAGGGATAGGCCGGGGAGTAGGGCGCTCACTGGCCGGCGAGAAATCTGACGATTCCGATCGACTAAATGGCCTTTCAAAGTGCTCAGATCAATACTCTAAGCGTTTTGACAACTTGTGGATTGGCTGTCCACTCGAGCCATACCATGTCCCGAGCTTCTCGTTTCCCGTATCGGACGGAAGAACGTACGATGGTTACCAAGGGCAGCAGCCATTTCCATTTCTGACGAACGATGGGACCGGCAGGATTCGCGGTCTCTCTTCAAGATAGCACGCAAATATGCCTTGATGTTTTTGCGTATCTCCTTATGTTAGCTTCCAGTCGGAATGCGTCGGTGAGCATGGATAAGATTCAGACACTGCGTATAGACCCTAGATCCTGTTTGGCGAGTTGATTTGCCACATGAAAAAAGCATCAGTAGTACTCCGTTACGTAGTAATGCCGTGCAATCAGCACCGGTCGTAGGTGAGCCAAGCATACTGCGAGGGTCGCCATGCTCCTACGCAGGCTCGAACCCACGCCGTCAGATTACAAGACAAGCTTGTTGCCTTTAGGCTACGGGCCAGCAAAGATTTGCCACATGAAGATTTGGTTGCTGCTAATAAGGTCTGGTAAAGATGCAACCAGTGGTCTTCAATTGCATCCAGTGAGTGCTTACACAACCCGCAAGCCGGCGTAGTTCGATACGCACTTAGAACATCTGATTCCACCCGTTGACGGGTGTCTGTGCGCACACAGCGTTGTCATAGGCGTCCGTCAAAATGCACTCGCAGATCAGCACATACAAGTGCATGGTCAGTGTCTACACGTGTGCCCCAGATCGAGTGACAGTTTTGGACGCAGCCTCTGCAGCGGTAACTGGTCGCAATGTGATCGATTTGCATCCAAGACTGGTGGACGCTATGCCATTTTTCGGCGGGTGCTGTATCAGAAGTTAGGGCTCGCATAATTCGCCCAGCATCTTCACACAAATGTAGTAACCATTCAACATCATCACTACGAGAGCTTACACCATGTTGGCCGCCTAGGTGGACAATTTTCTAACTTGAGCGTTCAGATCGTCAGTCAGCAGGAGCATATAAGCAGAAGGCCGACTGGAGCAATGTAGCTGGAATGACGAGTAATGGTGTGATAAGTAAGTAGAAACCAGCTTGACAGAGAAGCGGTAGACCAAGATTATGAGCGTAATGATGTCCATCCACTCCAGACTTGGATAGATGAAGCACTTACAGATTCTCACGATCGCAAGTAGTGGTTGAGAATATAGGAGCTAAATCTGGTCCGTTAACACGTGACAATGTACCACAGGATGACTGCACTGATTCTCAGGTTACACCCAGATCACATGTGAAAATAGAAAACGCTTAGTGAACCACTACGCATGCACTGATAAGTTGTTGGACTGTGAACTTCCTGATCGATCGCTGTACTGCGGTAGTAGTGAGTCACCTTCACATCACAGGTGACATTTTACTTCCAACCATTTGCACTTTAGGGCAAAGAGAAAACAGACAGTAAGAGAGTTTAGGCAGAAGTTTGTCTTTTGTGTGTTCGAGCAACCCATCGATCGGCTAGTGAAACACTTTCCAAACCGTTCGGCCGCGAATTCGACACACATGCTAGGGGCAGGTCCACTATGTACTGGCCAGAAGCGTCCTTAGTTAAGACGCGTGGTGGGATCACGCCCACCTGAAAGATGTCATCTGCCGAGATGGCCATGACCAAAGGCATAGTAACAACCACGTGAAAAATGTATCGGTTTCATTTAAGATTACGGGAAATTAGGTTGCGACTGCGATTTGTCAGCATCAATGTGCATGATGCCCGTCGTTATCACAGTCAAGATGAGTTGCCATGAATCGCATAGGTGAAGCGCGCACCGTAGTCAGTTGATAGTAATTTGCACTAAAGTGACGCACATGCCGCTTCCGTGTGAAACACGGAACATTCTCGTAAAAGGGTTGAGCATGAGTTAAACCCCTATGCACACTTAAGCGAATGCTGCAATACTTCAGGTGGGAGTAGCGCAGTGTCGTTGAACACGCGAAAGACGGGCGGGAATGGAACGGAGGGCTATTGGCCGAAGAACAACTATGCGAACATGGAATCGTTCATACGAGATATATATTTGTAGTTGAAAATCCGATTCGAGGGACTAGATGCGAAGCTAAGGGATTGCCTTGTATAGCCCAGGTCAGTCACGGTATCATTCGTGCAGGATCGTTAGTGGTAATTGGTTTAAAGTGAGAGTATGTAGATTAATTGACGAACGATGCAAAATTGCTCGCGCACCGAGATAGTAAAGTCAATAACCTTGTTTTCTCGTGACGAAATCGCACGCAGAGGTAACCTAGACAGACTATTGCATGAACGTAAGGAGACTGCTGTAGTGGTAGTAAGCCATTTCGCAACATAATGAAAGTGTGTACTACAACGGGACTTTACTTAAATCCATTCAGATGGTAGGAAATCCGGCTGACGAGAATAGCGGTCGGAAAGAGATGGGAAAAGAACTCACTAGGGTATTGCATGAATGTAATCTGGAAATGAGCAAATCCATATAGGTTTCTCCAACTGCAGTCGTTTTCACTTCGAATTCATCGGAGGGAAGAGCAGTGGACAGATTAGAGGTTAGAGCAGTATCGGCGATGGGTGATTGCAATTCGGGTCGCTCGAAAGGCATGCTAGTCAGCAGAAAACGCAGTAAGGTTGGAAGGAGTGACGATCTGGCCGTTCGGAGAATGAGTTGCTTCAGATATGCAGTTGCGGTTGCTACCTCTTCTACGCTAGACTAAAAAAGATGAGTGGCAAAAAAGAGTCTGGTAAATTTTATCCCATACGGAAATGAGTACATTCGAGTGTGGCAGTTTTGATTGAGACCAACAGATCAATAAAGGCGGCTGGCTGGGTGACTTCGTTTACGGCAGTCGCAGTGGATGGCGTAGGTTAACACGGCCGAAACCAGATCTACCATGAGACAATCCGGGTGGATAGGTCATTATTTCGACTACGATCAGAGCAAAACTCATAACTCGTTTGGGTAGTACCAAGTGAGTTTGGAAGTGAGGTAAAGAGTTGTTGGAAAATGAATATTGGTAAGTGATAAAAATACAGCAAGGACGATGGAAGCATTTCAGTGTATGACGGATGAACATATCGCAGAGTAGTGTGCCAATATTACTCGCGATGAATCAACAAATGGCTTTAGAGATAGGCAGAAAAGGAAAGTGATCGAGATTGAAACATACATTCATGTAAGAAGCCTGAAGCGTGTAGTCACATGTAAATAAAAGGCCCAATTCGGTTCTCGAATATCAGCAGAATTTAGTGAACAAATTGCGGGGAAAAACTTCGGATAATGGCATGAGCACCGCGAAATTCTGATTACTGATTTGGTCACATGTTTGACAGCAGAGCCGGACAGAGAGGTAAACCTAAGACAGGAGGTGTAAAAGACCGACGTGATCGGATCAAGTGAAAGCAGTTAGGTATATTCACTTCGGTCTAAACATCTGAACATTCAGATGCGATCCAGGCCGTAGGAAAGTCGAACTGGTCAGAGTATCCGCTTTCGTAAGCACAATCGCAAACTTCAAAGCAGACTTGGAAATTGTCAAAGAATCACGAGTTCAGAGGGAATTAAAAATAATCGATCGGTGTATTTATATAATTTACATAAAAACTTCGTCAGATCAAGTAAGTAAAAGCATAGCTGACGGAGCATCTTAGCGAGAAAAAGTCGTCGAACTAAGCTTTATACATCCGTACGAGGGTATTTTCAGCCCTTTACAGCATAAATGCGGATATGATAGGACATGACATCGATAAAAAATACAAATTGGTAAGGAAAAGGGGAAATGAGTGCACCTTCTCCGAAACATAGACAGGAAACGTGCGCACCATCATCAATGGGTTCAATAGTAGGCGCGACAAGTATGCCTGAACGGAACTAGGATGCGGCGAAGAACAATAAAACAAAGCGTTGAATTCAGATGGCGTAAAAAGGATAAGTGCCGTACTGGTAGGACAAGTTGTAGGCAAAAAATCCATTAAAGAGCCTGGATGAAGGGTTGATAAAAGGGTCGAAATGCTTGGTAACGATAAATTAAATCGGTCACTGGGGCGGCATCTGAAACAAACATATGATAGTGGTCCCCGCTCATAACACTGTATTCCAAGACCAGTTCCGCATCTGTTAGGACTCGTTAAGTTTAATGACACTGTAACTTGAGAGAGAGGGATGCAGGGTCCACGAGCCGAAGCCTGTATCTACGCCAACGGACAACAGGCGAATCATGTCACGGAGCGTTGCCAAAATGGTATTCATGGTGGAGTCGGGATCGACATCAATCATCGATATTTAACCGAATCCATGCACCGACGCATATCAGACTGGCCGGATTAAAAATGCATGTAAATCTCTGAAGGGTCCGTTCAATCCAATCTGGGCAGTTTCCAGAATTAGCATCCAGGGTCTTGCTCGTAAACCCATTCTGATGATCTCGGGCTCTTGATCCAGTATAGGCGCCGATACGGAAGAAACATCTCATAATGTCGCGAATTCAAAATCACTCCCAGGGATTCGTGAGATGTACTTTTTATGCTTTGAAATCCGCTTACTTAACCCTCCCGCGATGTGACTAACGCACATGTGAACAGTGTCGGCAGTCGGTTAGTAGGACACAGCTGTTCTATGGGAACGTGGTAATTCAAGTGCATCGCCGTTACACGTAGCGTTTGGTTCGGTGGCCGTAATCCGCACACACACACACACACCATAAAATGCCGAATCAAACGTGCACCCCGGTTCAAGTGCATCGATAAAGCTTCTGTGTCAAAATCGAAACGTCGCACAAGAAACACACCGATTGATTAGTTCCGCGTATACCCATATATGAAACACTACTCTTTATATAAGATACACATATTTTTACCACTGTCAACAACAGACGAGGAATTTTTTCCCAAACTTCCTACAAATATCGTTGTAGTTAGTTATATCCTCTCTAAGTCCATGGAATGATACTATTTTATTACGGTCGGCCATCAGGTGAGACTGCGTCTCCCGTTAACAAGGAATACACTGTAGCAATACCCGGTCACAGTGAGTTCGATTGTGTAAATACTTACGGAGAGAATTCAACAGTCATTATCATCGTTACACATAAGATGAATGTGGGAAACACACTACAGTTACAGTGTCGCAATAATTCAATAGGCAATAAGAGAATAGGTTAGGAACAAATCCAAAGGCCGTACACGAAAGGAAACGTGTCTCAGTTCAATTCAATTCATGAAAGAGCTTTATGCACCCAGGAGGGTGAATATTCATCTATCACACGCCTACAGCATTGTACAGAGAATAAAGTTTAATATAGACTAAACAAAAGGTGGTCAACAAATGCCATAGGCAGTGGAAGCATAAACTGCACTAGAGTTCGAAATGCACAAAATTCTAGTCGAACTAGCTACCGTAAGTTCAGAGAGATCGTTTTGATCACGACGGGCCAGTGAGCATACTCACTGTGGTAAAACGCACTCGCCAGCGTTGACAAACGGGATTATTTCTTGGTGACAACTACCCACAGAAAGTCGACTACTGCACCCAAGCTTCAGGTAAAATCTCAGCGGGGATACTTAGATGAGCAGCTGTAGGCATAAGGTAGCAGATCACACTACAATGAAGGAACGAAAGTTAGGTAAGATTTCAAATGCAACCACGCCCAAGACTGACTCCAAATGATGGTTGGGTAATTTGCAGGGAGTGCCGATTTATCCGGAGTTGTAAAAAATAACTTGCAATGTTATCCACGTAATCAATTACCACCTTGCTTTTAACGGACGCATTTTAAGCTAAGTAAGAAAGCACCCAACAATCTGAAATAGAAATCTCAGTTGGAATGTCACAAACATGAATGACAAACTCTGCATCATGCTGACGATTCGGATGCTCGTTGCTTGGCCAAAGCAAGAGGAGGTAGAAGACCGAAGCCTGAGTATGGTGTCCGCAGTACGCCGACACGCAGGACCGACGCCTTGCTGCCACGTAACCGAAACTGGTCGCAGGTGGGTTGAGGATACTGTGAGGGTCGATCGGTCCCTACGCAGGCTCCAACCCGCGCTTTCAGATTACAAGGCGGGCTTGTTATACTTAAGGCTAGGGGCTGACAAGACTGAGTATACTGTCTTGTTGGTAAACGTAAGATCATTAGGCTAACGTTAGGTAAGAACGCCGGGTGGAGTTGAAAGATAAAGAATTAGTTCAAAGGCAAGTAGTAACGAAGTAAAATCCAGCTAGCAAGCACCAGATCCGAGGTAATAAAAAGCGCATCCGACCCTTGACCGGCCTAGGTACCACACGTCAGGTGGTAGACGCGATCGAAAGATGAGAACAAGATGTGACACAGCGATCGATGGCGTGCGTTCACGACCGATGACTCAGCACGGTGTTTCGTGCACCGACAAGTGACTGCACCTCGGAGAGTTTTAATCGCACCAGTCACCGGCACAAGGCAATCGATATATACAGAGTGGCAAAACACACATGGCTCGATCACCTATCCGTGAAAGGCAAGCTTTACTACAAGTATTAACAAGTAGAGGCGGTGTGAGACTGAAATGAGTTGACGTAGCTGAAAATTGGACACGGACCAAGATATCCGAGAGGAAACACTGCTCAAGTGCAGTAATCCAAAGCCATGCTATTGACACAGTCGAAGAGTCCTGAAATTATGACTGGTGGTCAAGTCTAAAAGGGCATCGGGCCGTAAAACTGTAACTGGACAGCTAGAAAACAAAACAATTCATATATATATATATATATATATATATATATATATATATATGCACATTTGGTTTGAGAGCCTGTGGTTCGCTGGGGTTTGTGGTGGCGAGATCCTGACCGGTCATGGATGCACAGCAGCTATGGTCTTGCTATAAACTTCCGTCCTCGTGATGATCGCTGGGTTGGAGTATGGTGACCTCTCCTGATAACAAACAACCAGGACACAGATACGTGAGTCAATCAGGCCATGGAGCGTTCTCAGCTGCCATTCGGGAATACAATTTCTCAAAGGCCTGAATGAGGACCCCAGCCGTCCTCCCGTTCAAGTATGAACGCCCTGGCAACATAACAATGCAACTATGTAAGATAATCTACACAAATACTGGCAATCTCACGCTGTATGGGCCGTCGCGCAGTGGTGATAAAGGGTCATCTCGGCAGATGGCCGAGTGGTCTGCACGTTTGCTTTGCAACCATAAGGTCACCGGTTCGAATCCGCGTAGGGGTGGGCGTCCTCGCGGTATACTCAGCCCGCGCGCGACTGGTGGCGGTTGCGCGGCAGCGAAGCGCCGTTACGGCGTACAGCTGACACATTATTATTTTATTTTATTTCCACATACAGCTGAGTGGACTAAAGAAAACATACTAACAGCACCTCTTTTCACTCCCCTCTATGTTCTACCCTACCAAATTACATTCTACCTACCCCAACCCCCATGCCAACTCATCCTCAATAATTGCCCGGTGCGACCGTACGCCTCTATGCAATGCGCTCAACATCGGGCAATGGAACGTGAGCACACTACTGGACTGGAATACGAGTGCCCCGAGCAATGGTCGCTATGGAACACGCGCGCTACGGCATTGATACTGCCGCAGTGAGACTCGGATGAATGACCAAGGCATAGTGCATGAAGTTGGTGCGGGTTACACCTTCCATTGGGTGGCAGATGACACCAAATTAACAATTAATGATGTTGGAGTTGCACTACCCGACAGCCTAAATGGCCAACTGATAAAAGGGCCGACTCGTATCAGCTCACGATCGATGACATGTCGTCTACGTCTCCAACGAGGTAGGCTTGCAACCTTATTCGCACTATGGTCCCAACATGTGTTATCCTGATGACATGAGAGATCGGTTTTACACACGGTTGTCCTCCGTGATACGGTTCGTGCCGAGGAGCGATCGGCTATTTTTACTGGGTGATTTTAACGCGCACTTTGGGCGTGATGACATTGGGTGAACGTAATTGGGCCGCACGGTATTGGCTTAGCTAATGCGAAATGCAACTTACTCTCACTGTGTGCCATTCAAGGCTTGGCGCGCACAAACACGTGGTTTACATTAGGTAGTAGTGATACTGCTATTTAGACGCACCCACGAAGTGGTCATGCGCACCTGTTCGAATGTCATCGTAGGGCAGCATGACATGCGTGAAGTGTGCATCACGCTTGTGCTACCTATGAATACGTGCGGAACTGATTACAATTTGGTCCGCACCCAATTTTACGTATTTCACGTAAAGCTGTTATGCTCCGCCAACGTGAACCGGCGGGGAAGTAATGTTCGTTCTCTAGGTAATGTTGAGAAGAGCAGCGAATTGGAGAACGCAATAGCGACACGCCTTGGAGATATCACCTCTACCGATGCAGTCAGCACTCTATTGGATAACTTAAAGGAACAGGTGGTCATGGCTACTGAGTAGACGATCGGGAGCGAAAACTCGAGGCGGCCCGATTGGTTAGTGATAACAATGCGACTATTGGTGCGTTGTTGTCAGAGAAGAATGAAGCAGTTGCTGCGCATAAGGAGGATCTCGACAGTGTAAGCCACGTCAGCGTCTGAGTTGGGACCCACTTTGCATCAAGAATATATAGTGGGTGAAGAAGGCTGAGTAGATGAAATACTACATCTAACGCCGCCAACACGAGTGGTACTATGACCCTCTGAAGGCAGTAGACGGGCCCACCTTGCAGCCGAGGAGAAAGCTGGTGGACACTTTCTCGGATGTTGCATATACACAGATTGCAGGTATCACGTAGATGTGGCGCAATGATTACAACGGCCCTTGAGCCACCGTGGAGAGATTGACTGATACGTTGCACGGGTTGCAGTAACAATAGGTGAAGATAGGACATGCGGATGACAGGGTTTCGCAAGGAACACAGAGAGCGTTTGCTCAGTTGTGAAGATTGTGTGAAGATTGGACGTTGCCAGAAGTGTTGAAAAATGACGTACCCGCGTTGATAGATGCGCTACACCACTTGGTGGAATGCACCTGAATCGAAGAACAAGTGCCGGCTAAGCAGAAAATACTCCGGTGCTACCATTGTACGAGCGCAAAGGAAGTAAGTATTGTGTCACTAACTATGGATGCAACTTGCTAAGTTGCATCGTGATGGCGATTGCTCGAATCTTACTCAACCGCCTCGTCACTCAGGTCGTTAAACCGAATGTGGGTGAGGAGCAGTGCGGATCCCGTTCGAGCCGCAGCATCATAGATGTGGTGTTCGTGACTCGTCAATTGTAGAAGTGCCGTGAGCGAAACCAGCCATTGTACTCGCTGTCCTTCGACTTCACCAAGGTATTTGACATGGAGAACTAAGAGGTGCTCTGTCTGGTTATGATTAAGTTTGGTTTTCCAGGTGAGTTTGTATTATTGAATGTCTGCACAGTGGTATGCGGACGAGGTCGATGCTGTGTGGACAAACTACGGATGACTTTGAAGTTATCCCTGGTGTGAATCATGGTTGTGTCTTAGTTTTGTTCTCTTTAATACTTACCTGTCATGCTGCTTATTGCTTTCATTGCATGTGATTACGGTGCTCGCCTAGAGCACCGTATCGATGGTAGGTTGCTGAAGATCCATCGTTTGGTGCGAAAACTCGAAAACGTGAAACGACCATCCATTTAGTGAGGAATACTTGTAGTGTATAACGATGACAGCCAATTTCGAACACGCTATCAACACAGGTAAGAATGTCTGTGTTTTCAGCCAGCATCAGGTAGGAAGCCGTGAGTTCTCTGCAAATCAAGATTACTGGCGAAACTTTAAAGAACTCATCAGAACACCCCTGCCTCGAGAGTACGCCAACCGACTTACAGACAATCAGGGAACAATAGGCACCAGCAGTACGCCGGTAAGCAGTATCGACGCTTCGCTGCCGCGAGATCACCACCAGCCGCGCGTTGGCTGAGGATACTGCGAGGGTAGCTCAAGCCCCTACGCATGCTCGAAACCGCGCCCTCGGACTACGAGGCAAGCTTGTGATCCTTAGGGCTACGGGTCGGCGCACCCGCGTATAGAAACCGTGTGCGGCTTTCGGCACGCTGGAGCACTGACTAGAGGAATCTACAGTTGACTTTGGAACTAAGATGGCGATATACAAATCAGTTTACGGTAGGATATTCAGTATCCGGAACGAGTACACCAAATACCTGCGTCGGATTCGGCGAGTCCGATGGTGTGAATGAGCTTCTGAAGCAAAGTTGCTCCGCCGGAGCGGCATGTACGGAGTGGATTGCATGTTGCTACCGCAACCCGTTTGGTGAATCAGACGTCCGTCGTATAAACAACTGATAGATGCTCAACTTGGCACCGGTAAGTGAAACGTGGGGAAAACGAAGCCACGCCATCAGAACACGATCCGGGTGAGTTTATCACGAATTATGTTGACTCTAGATGTTGAACAGCAATAGCTGTGAATCAGCGCCAATAGCGTGATCGCATCAAAAATGCGGTTCCCCAGATTCATGAGGAAATGCTGTTGCAAGATAGAAAACGCCGGTTACGCAAACGGAGTTCCGTCAGCCAACATCGTGCACCTGGTGCTGTGGCACATGTGGTTGTGTGTGCCTCAGCCGATCCGCTTTAATAAATCATCAAATTTGACACGATGGGCTAAAATCCAAAGGGCAACTAGTAGGTCAAATGGGTAATCGTCAGTACTTGGTATGTACGTTACTTCCGATTCCGTTTACTAGCCAAGGCTAATAATGCGGTAGACGTGGCACGTGTGCTATGTCATCGTTGCAGTTCGTCTGCACGCATGCTTGCGTGTTTATCTGCTTGCTGATTCATATGCCCGAGCTGATTGCGCTTGAGGTGAATGTTGCCAAAGTGCCTACCAGTTGAAAATCGCCACACTGATTATACTGGCTCCAGGAGACTCTTAGACTTTGATGGGGGAGACGAGGTGTTCGATTCTCGTGGCCGTGCTAAGCTCAGAGTTTTTCCATACATCCAGTGTGGAGCGGGATAGGGCCGAGTCACCGCCTTGTGTACGTCTGGTACACATGGTTCGCCCTCACCTAATGAATGATGCGCATTTTGAAGGGGTGTAGGCCGTCTCCGAATAGGTCGTGGCTCCAATCCACAAGCCACCCATGGTGCAGACACCCTGTGGCTGTTTGCAGTCGCAGCCACAGGCAAATCCGGAAACGAATGCTATCAACCATATACAAACATCCGATAACTGAGGAATACCAATAAAAGTGGTAGCGTCATTACATTTAGATGAAGGCAATAAGCTGAAGGGAAGAAAAACTGCAGTCAGTGTGCACAAAGAAAGCACGGCTGTGAAACCGCTAGGCGGATATGCGAGGTACTCAGACAAGACGTGAGATCGTGTAGGTGGAAACAATACAGCTCATCGGTCGATAAATTTGGTTGGAATCAAAAATCCATCAAATAAGACCACAACCAATAAGGTAATTATGCCAACATACACTAGTGATATCCAAAAGAAAGGATACTGGATACTGGAAATAGAGAATTAGTAGTTATGCATCTGTGTTGTTCCATAAATGTAGTATCAGGCATGCACGTGGAATGACGTTATTCCTTACGTCGCATTTTCAACACAGTTCGGCCGTGAGACGTTCCATTCGGGTGTGATGCGCTCTCGAAATCTGTAACCCTCAAAGTGGGCGTTCGGGAATTGCTCGAATTCCGTCATCGATTTTGCCTTGGGTAAACTGTGCCAATAATTCAGCACTTGACGATCGAAGCATAGTGAATAAGCTATCCCCTTCAAATCAAGCACTACAAGTTTGTACCGGTACCTGCGAATGTTGCTTGGTGCGTTCACATACAGAATCGGGATCAGCAACGGAAGTCACTCAGATGTAATATTCGGCGAGTCATTATGAGAGTAAGCAAAACTGCTGCTAACCAGTTTGCGACCACATGCCTGAAATCAATCCGGTTCCGGCCAATAAGGTGTAAACCAAAAAAAGTTATCTACAGTCAACTGTGTTCGCAGCTTTACAACTTAGTAAGGTCGAAAAAGGTGCGGATTGTTAGGCGTCTTAAAAGGCAATGTGCGGCCGGCATTAAGCCCAACCCAATGTGGATCTGTGATAGCGTTCCGAGAAGGATCTACCCAACGTTGTAACCTGTGCTCAACGACTATGGCCAAATTCAAGTATTGATAAGACTTAGCAGGTAGATAAACGAGTTAGCAAGAGAATGATCGAACGAAAAAGGGAGTGATTATTTCCACTCGGTGTATACACAGAAACATATGTGGAGATGGTTGAGAGAGATGATGGGACCAGCTGGGCATGCGGCAAAAGTGGGCTTACTCTGGTGAGAGAGAGTCCGAGGACGGAAACAAAGAAACCGGAATGAATGTAGTGAAGCAGACTTGATTGAAGCATCGGATGAGCAACCTGTGAAAAACGACGGAATGGAGTGGCAGAAATATGAGGTAAAGCAAGCTACGCAGAAACTGACGTATCAGCACATTGACTAGGAATAATTGTATATGTGCGGCAAAACGATCCCCTTAGTTGGATAGAAAGGACATCAAAAACTACTTGCAAAGATCTAAAAGCACGAAGACAAACTAGCAGAGAAATCCCGGTACAGAGTAATCGCTCAGGGTGAATAATAAAGTTGTCTCAAGAAAAGGAATTGAAAAAAGCAGCACGCTATTGGAAACACCAAAAGGTCATTCAACGCCCATCAGATGGTGTGAAGGCAGATAGGCAAGCACATGCGGATGCAATGAACGTTTCAGTGATCTCGATGAATCGATGAGCCGAGCCATATTGTAACTGGTACTTAGCCATGACAGTAAATCACCTTAACCCATGGCGTGGCTTAGGGCACAACCTCATGATACGATTCCCATGTGTCCGGATCGTGCAAGATTCAGAGAGGATACGTTAGGTATGCGAAATTGACATCCAGCGCTTGCCCGGATGTGTGATGGCCGGATGCGAAAATCTTCAAAAACACGTGGAAATTCCCCCATCACCTTCCGTAGTATAGCATAGTTCACATGACTGTTGAATGCAGGTAGCTTGAAATGGGTGTGCATGTCGATGGCATGTCGACAGTCGTACCATTCATCACCTTAAAAGGAGAATGAGGTGCATATCGGTTTGCGGACCTGCGGTAACCAAGTTGAACGACGGTGTCCCAGTGTTCGCGTGACAGGCAATACAACGCATCGTGACAATTTGGTGTCCTTCAAAAACCGATAAGTCTCCCGCAGTTACTCGCCTTCCATTCTACAGAAACTGAGTTGAGAACCGCATTGCACAAAGGACCGTCAGAGTATGAGAAAAGGGCGGCCGTTCCTTACGAATGTTGTAGGAATCCGTATGAAGAAGAAAACCGCATGTCAGGACGAACGAGCGCTAGGTGCATCGCTTGTGCCCTTCTGTTATGAACAGATAAAATGCTGGTAACATCCTGAGCGCATCCAGCCTCGCTTCCATTGGCGATTCGCATGAACACAGACTGTGGCATGTACTGTCTCAAAGTCCAGCTCAGTCGCTCCACAATTTTCACCCGTAGTCCCACCGCAGAGTAAAGATTTTGACTTGTATCCTCATTCTCTGAAAGCCGTTTATGGATAGAGCTTATCGACTGCGGATCGTAGTCTGAAACTATCGTTCGCGGAATAGTGAAGTGGGCGACACGACGCCGCAGCCAATGAAAGCTTCATGTAGTGGTAAATCTACCGTACATCTGCATGCAGGAAGCCGTAAAATACGCTTCTCTTAAGATGTGGAAGTGGGTCCATTATAGTGATTGATACCAATGATCACGACTGCCATAGTATACACAACAAGCTGTCCAAATGTTTGCTGAGCTTAGCAATTTGGTTGCGAACGTTTCGTCACCAGTCGAGGTGACGTAATCAGTGAGTGTGTAACAAAGCGCAGCGAAGCATAAATAAGTGTGAAGCGGGTAGACGCGCACGTGCGTTGAAATAGCTCGACCCATACCTCGAGACCATGGCCCTTCACGTTTGAAAATGTTCCCAGAGCTGTGCGTATAGGGTCCCCTTTCATTGGGGGTATTCGATCGCAGTGGTGACTGTTTACTTGTAGATTTGCGTAGATGGCATCCGATTCGATGTGTCGATTGGTTAAATTCTTCGTGGAGTCCTATGCTCCTAAGCATTCTCTTGCCTGCGTCGTATTCCCACGTGCTAGAATCTCTACGTTTTCCAGATCAAATCGATGACCTGCTTCATCCTCGTGTTAGAAAAACGAAGAATGTTGCATTCGTATGCTCTGCAGTCCGTGTGGTAAGTTTTCTCTTTGTTTATCTGATGTGTTTCATACGTTTATCCGAGTGACTGGATGAAGCGCAGCCCAGTACAGCTACTTCGACTATGAAGGACACCCGGTGTCATCATGATCATATTGCAGCAGAGTGAAACCTTCTAGAACGTGTAATATTAGATTAACGAATGGTGAGCATCGTGCTTTTAGGACCACATCCGGGATAGCATGCCCGAATACGCCGACTTCCAACGCATTAAAACTATCGACAGCTTGAGTTGTTAAAAGCTGACTAGAGTAACATCTCCTCTAAGGAGTACTACTGCTTTGTCTCGAGCAGAATTCATAGCGAATGAGCAATGAATTACCTCTGCCAGCACAATGACAGTAACAAGACGGTCAAGGTGTTGTTTACTACAAATGTGAGACAGGGTTCGTCAAATATTACCGCTACCGGAAGAAATCATTTCCCCCACCTTGTTGAGTGCGAATTCCTAACGTTGGGGCTATTGGCGCGGAGTGTCTGAAAGATTTGTGGATCTCTGAGGTATTAGATTGCTTCGACAATAAGGACATAATTCGAGGGGTTGTCCAACAGGAGTCATAATTCAAGTGGCGGAGTCATAGTAATGGTGACGATACTAGTAGCAGTAGGGAACATACGCTCGCCAGAGAGTGGATCCCAGGAAATAAAAGCACTGGAGCATAACTCGCATCTTTCCTTCTTTAAATACAGACTGGCTCAATTCAGGCTTAATAGTAATAGGTAGTACAGTTTTTAATCAAGACCTTTATGGTACAACCCCTGGGAAGACGCTAATAGACGCTGAAGGAAAGTACCAGCAGATCATCTTCGTTGCAATGAAGAAATTCAGCAATATGCCATGTAGCCGCCGCGTTAGGCAAAATGCTGTTGTACGTCTTCGGCTCCAAAAGAGACAATCTTCTACACGACTAACCGCTGGACACACGCTTTTGGGAGGTGATTTTGTGACACACAACTAACCGATGGGTACCGAGCGCCAAATAGCTGCGTTGTCACCACTTTTACCCCCAGCAGAAAGGATCACGAGGAGACCATCATAGCTTCAGTCGAAGAGAAGTCTGACATAAAATGTCCAGTGAACGACGGATTGCACGGGTTGTCAGTAACTGCAAGAAATGCACGATGTAAATCAATGCAGGATTCACTTGTAAGTCCCATAGATACAACGAAAGAACAAGTTACCCTAGTGTACACTAGCCGATTCAATCTGAAGATTTTACAAAAAAGAGCACCGCGGCATGTTCACACAAGGCATTCTGGAACCAACCGGATAAAAACAAGTGCTGCAGTCAAGTACATTATTCTTCCACAGACCAGCAGCTAAGCGGCGGCCAAACAATGTCACATTTGCACCACTGCTTCGAAATCGATACAAGAGACAGGTGATGTTAGAGGCCGAACTGAATGGCGAGCTACTCGGATGGCTCTGGAGAGGAATCCTTCGTGTAGTGTGGATAAGTCGTAGTTTATGTTAACATTTCGATTGCTCTCGTCAGTCGCTACGCAATACAGGCAAAACAAAACACGCAATATATAGGGTCCACATTTAGTAACATAGATAAGCAGATAAAACTGATAAGCATGACGTAATCAGGTCCAAGGCAATATAATTGATTGAATCAATTGTTTCTGGGCACAGAGCACGGGACAGGGTTACGCTAACAATGTCTAGAGAACGACGGTCCCAAGTACACGTTGACTTCTCAGGTCCAAGTAACGACCAAAGCTAACGCATGGGAGTACACTAGTATAGTAAACGGCCAGACGCGTTCTGATGGAAGGCGCAACAACCAATGTCGATGTCCTAAGGCTGCCGGCAATCCAGCGGGTCCAACTATCCAGAAACAAATGCAGCAAAAATGCAGGACGCAATTCATCTCGATTATCTCCAGAGAACGCTAAAAATACTGCGCCAGCAAACGTGCTCCCTCACCGCCGCTCCACCGTCAAGGAAACGTTTAGACGTGTTCTTCTTAGAGAAAAAATGAGAAAAGCAAAGAGATGCCCAAGATAGATCTCTAACCCCTCATCAATTCCCACCGAGATGCAACTGCACAGCACGCGGTTTCTTCGTTGTGAACGCCGAGGAGTGAAAGGTTTCGTATGTCAGTCAGTGCCATTCACTCGATTACTGTGGCCACATGTAACGTGAGGAAGCTCAAACTGGAACAAGACGTTAAACAGCAAAACGGAGCAAGGTAATGCCAACCTAAGTCAGGAGGGACAGTAACTGCATGCGGCTACCGGAAGGGGCATATCGCAGGACGCCAGAGGAAATCATATGCAAATGAAGCAATATCATTAACGAAGTGCCCACTTGGACTTCAGACTTGAGTTGGTCATGCAAGATGGCTGCGCCCAACGTTGTGCTACCCAAAAGGATGAAGTTCGCTGAGATACTCTTCGGTTCAACTGCCCATACTCCCAATATTATGAAAGGTGTGGTTTACACTTAACTCATCGAATGGTGAGGCGACCATCTACAGTCTGACCTCCGAAAGCAGTTCGGACAAGGCGACGCGAAGATAGAGAATGGATAACTTCTTGTAAACTGCAATGTAACCCAAGTCCCTCATCGTATAACTGCAGCTCAAAAGGGAGATGTTTATGAGAAAGGAAACTATCCATGGAAACGTCGTCATCTCTACAAGAAAACGAATTGGATGAAAGGCACCAAGTGGAAACCTCCAGTTCGTTTGATAAAATTCAACTACATTGCAAAGCAACTCCTCCTCTTCACAGGCTGACAAAGTTTAACAGTTGGCCCAGCTGTTCTTGGAACCGAAGGTTCTTAGATCAAGATAAAAACACAGCTAGCCTTTAGTGTATTTGTACAGTGTGTTGGTAGGTGTCCCATTCAGTACAATTTTTCCCATGTTTGGCTGTGCCTGGAACCGTGTAACCGGATGGTACATAATTCGGAAAGTCTAGTTCACCTTTTTATGAAGAAACGCGAATCGAAGTTCCGATAGAGAAGGCGCATTCAACTTCGACTCCATTTTAAGAAATGAGTTTGTTTTGATGGGTTAAAGTGCGCAGTTGGAGTACCAGAAGGAAGGGGTGGTTCGGTTGCAACAGTCAAATGAACGGCACTCTGTCTATA